GGATGGTCCTGCGCAGGTGGTTGCGCTTGCGGAGGAAGTCGGGCTGCGCGTGGAGGCCGAAGCTGCCCTTGCGCAGGACCATCCGCGAGTTGTTCTTCTTGGGGCGCGCGCGGTGGCTGGTCTCCAGGGCGGCCAGGTGGGCGGCGTAGCCCTCGCTCAGGAACTGCGGAGGGGACAGAAGTCAGGCCAGCGGGGCAGGCAGGAGCCTGGTCCTGCCCCCACCCCCCAGCGTCACCCTTTATCTGGGACACCCCATCATGGGGTCTCCAGCTCTTCCGTGGAACCTGCAGGAAACTGGACGTTCTTACCATTCAAGGCTCCCGCCCCGCTTTGGACGCCTGAGCCCTCACGTCTATCTGTACCTGTGGGCCTTCCGGATCCCCTGAATCCTTGTCACGTTCACTAAAATCCCAAACTGTACGTCTCTCCCACCATCCGCCTTCCACCCGGGGGAACTTGGTCATGTTCTGGCCCGGACAATGGCCCCCTTGCCATTCCTTTCCACTGTGTGCTCAGCCTGCTGCTCGCAGTGTGGTCTGTGCGCCTGCAGCAGCAGCCTCAGGCCCCACCCCAGACTACAGATCAGAACCGGCATTTAAACAATATCCCCATGTGACCCACGAGGCATTTAGAGTTTGAGATCAGCACTGCTCCAGGGATCCCCGCTCAGGGGTCCCTCCACCTTCACACTCAGCATGGCCCCGAAAGCTCACTGCCTTCCCCTCGATCTGCTCCTCAACCTGCTTCTCCCCAAGCCGGAAACAGGATGCCCTCCTTGCCTTTCCCTTCCTGCGTCCCACACATCTGATCTGCCATTCCCGGATCCGGTCCATCTTCCTAAAAGTGCCTCTCAGACCCTCCCACCTCTCTCCCCTTCCACTGCCCTGCCACTTCCTCCCACCCACCTGCAGCCTCTGAATTGCAAACACTCCACAGACTCAGAGCCCCGACCAGCAAGGCACACGGGCCACATGCGCACTGCCACCCCCGCCCCTCTCCCACTGCCCCCACGTCACACTCGGCCAAGCTGGCACTGGCAGTTCCCAGAATACACGCGTTCTCTGTCCCCTCCGACCTTTGCTTTTGCCGCTGCCTCTGTCACTAGTGCTCCTCCAACCGCAGGCTCTTCTAGGACAAGGCCTCACACTTCTGAAAGCCGGCCTTGCTCCGAGTGCAGGGTACCTGTCCTTGTCTGGGGCCCCACCATTCTGTGCTCCCCCTTCATTCACTATGGCTCCTGCACACTGCACTGTCCTTGTCTGCACATGCTTCCACCTGCCTACTAGGCTGGATGACATGACACCGATTCCACCCGGGACTCTCCCCTCAACACAGGGCGTTTCAAGGCAGGTGTCAGCAGTATTTGCTGAATGAATGAATGAAGGAAGGAATGAGCAGATGAAGGAATGAGCAAAGAAGGGAACAACCACCTACTCCCCCTTACTCTTTCCCTGGCCCCCACTCCCCGACCCCCAGCCCCAGCCCTGGCTCCACCCACCTGGCACTGGGTTTGGTACTTCTTGGTGGGCCGGCCCACAATGAAGATCTGGGAGGGCGGCAGGCCCAGCACGCTGTAGACGGAGATGTCCTTCGTGGAGCCATAGGCAGCGCTGATCTTGATGAAGCACTGAAACACAGAGCAGCTCATGGAGGGAGAGGGCAACCCAGTCAACACCTCCCCGACCCCCCCCCCCCCCG